TTTACTACGCATCACACATTCAGGATTTTTACGAGCCAAACGATTCCAATGGGGGTTTGAGTTTTTGCAGCATTCCTGTCGCCCTAGCGTTTGTCATGTAAATGGTGTCAATCCAAAGGTGAGACCGTTATCTTTTGATTAGCTCCTCTAACTTCATAATTGCACATTGAATATCATTCATTTAGAACATGCATGCAAAATGTTTTGCAGGTAGAACTCAATATTTTCAATGGGCATAGTAAAGATTTATTTACACTTGCACATATATCACGACCTTTTTTATGAATATATTACTAGAAAGGGTAACTTTTGGATATGGCGTCCTTTTATGCACTTGATTATTTATGAAGTGGGATAATCATAATTAACAAATTGTTCAATAAGCCTTACTTTATAAAGGGTGGTAATATGATGCAATTGTTCAATCTACTTGTGGGGTTTGTTTCGATTATGCCTAACAATGGTAGCAGTCAAAAATTTTCCAATAAAATCTTTACTTTGTTTCACTTAATTGATCATTAATTGCTACTACCAGCGCACTGCCTTCTCTCTCTCTTTCTCTCTCTCCCTCTCTCTCGCCCTCTCTCTTCTCAATCGCCAAAATTCGCACCCATTTTTTTCTAATAAATATGCTTGATTTTGCGATTTTTTCCATTGTGTGTTGGAGTAAAATTTTATCTGAATCTTTGACTCATTTTGAAAATAATTTATAACTATGAATTTGAGCATTCATTGCAAACATTGCTACATTCATGCAGATCTCATGCAGAATCGTCAAACTTTCATGCCTCATCTCTAATTAATGAAGTAACCATCTCTATGAACTCCATCTCTGACTATATCTTTTGCATCTGACTTTCTAAAGGAACGCAATTAGCCGCATGAAAGTTAAATCTTTTGCCATTACACTATCCCACTAATTAGCGAGCCAAGTTCTTCAACTTTTAACTTTCCCTTCTTTGGCGCAACTGACTTATTTTGCCCAACTCCGCAAAAAGCTTGGCAAACCCTTACGCTGTCATGAATTTAGTTATAATTCTTCAAACTTACATAGGATGAAGAGACGCCATATCCATTAAATTACAATAGGCAATCAATCACATTTAGTGACACATAACTTAGACATTTCAAAGAACGAACTTCTTCTACGTATTGGTGTCGTCAACAAGCCTTTCTATATGCCATTTGCTCTCTTTTTTTTCTACTTTATCTTACCGAACCTTTTTCTGTAAAGCATTTCAGAAAAGGATGAGATAGATGAAAAGTACTGCTTGTTTTTGAAGGAATGGAAAACGCTACAAGAAATTGACAATAGAGCAACATTGCTGCAAATTCAAACTGTTGATGAACTTGCTTTGATAAATGGCAACAATCAACTCCAATATTCTCACTCTTCAAAATATCTAATAATTAAGAAGTCCGTTTCTTGAAATGTTTTAGAAAAACTTCTTCTCTGGTAACGCA